AGGACCCCCCAGACGCAGGAAAGTCGGACCTGCAGGCCCAGCGGGAGCGTCACGCAGCCTAGGGGAGGGGGGCACCGAGTCCACAGAGAGGGTGCCCAGTGCTCAGGGCTGAATCCCAGTGTCGTGAATCTCACGGGGAAAAGCGCTCGGCCCACTTCCTTTCCCAGGTGACGAGACGACATCCAGAGGAAGCGGGAATCCAGGGCTCCACAGGTGACACACATGACAACCGTGTATCGGGGCAGCCAGCCCAGGCCAGTCTGGGAGGCAGAGCTGCGGCCCTCGTGCTGGCATGGAGGGCAGCTGCTGAGAGGCCACTGTCCTGAGGGTCTTCCAGGGAGGCTGCTGGGCCCAGAGGACTCAGGGCCCCAGGCTGCAGCGGCCAAGATAACCCGACTCACACCCCTCGGGACCAGCAGCCTTTGCTCCACGCGGACAAGCAGGGTCCTGTCCCGAGGTGGGTGAAGACGGGGAGGGCACCTGCACTTTCACACCTGTTAAGTCGTCTTACCTGTCCATGCCTCTCCCCTCACATGCCTCCCACCTGCACATCCCCTCACGTCCATGCCACTGAGCTATTCCCACCTCTAAGCTGTGCGTGCCTGCCACCTGCACACACTCCTCACCTGCACATGCCTCCCCCTGTACACGCCCCTCCCCTGTACACACCTCTCCCCTGCAAACACCTCCCACATGCACACGCCTCTCCCCTGCACGCGCCTCTCTGCTGCACATGCCTCCCACCTGCACACACCCCTCACCTGTACGCACCTCTCACCTGCACAGCCCCCCCCACCCCGCACATGCCTCTAAACTGCGCACAGTGGTACACGAGAGCCCCCGGCTGGCACCTCGACCCTCCCAGTCCCAGCAGCACCGGCTTCCGATTAGAAAAGGCACTTCTGGGGCGTCTCTGCCCGGTGGGTCCCAGGCGCCCAACAGCGGCACCCGCCTCCACAGGAGTCTATTTGCAGTCATGCTATTCCCAGTGACAGCTGGCCAGCACCTGTCTGCAGTGGCCCGCACTGCCCGCCCCCACCGACAGCCCCCGCTGCAGCCAAGCAGGGGACAGGGCTGGAGCTGTGTCCAACTCTGGGGCATGCCTGGTCAAGCTCAGTCCAGCTCAGGAAGCAACTCACCACCATGGACAAACAAGTGGCCTGCCGTCCTGGAGCAGGGCGCACACGGCAGACCCCTGTCCAGGCCCCAGGACCTCCGGGTGGCCCCTGGAGCCTGGCAGCAGAGGCCAGCACAGGGTCTCCAGGCCCTGCAGGTACCCACAAGGGACCAGCAGACACGTGTCCCTTGGGGCACAGCAGCACCCAGCACCCTACTCCTTGGCCCCCAAACCTGCGGTGCTTCCCGGGGCCCCGTCCCCTCTGGGGTCCACCCCAATACAGTGGCCACAATGCCACCACTTGTGGGACAGAAGCCTGGATGCTGTTTACTTCCGAGTGGCCAGGATGACCGTTTGGGGAAATGGTGTCACAGGACCCCTCTGGTCTCAAGAACGGGGGTCAGTAGGTCCCAGCCCTGTCTCAACATTGTCTTCACAATTACTGCACAGGACCAGGGCAGGACCAGAGGTGCAAATGGTGAAACCCAGGCCTTGCCGGGGCACGGCCTGGGCACCCGCCAAGCCCCATCTCCAGGAGTGGCGTAGGCTGATGGCAAATGCAGGGAGGCTGCTGGACACAGACCGCACGAAACAGCAAAGGCCCCGCTGAAGCCTCCGTGCTTCCCCAGGCCTCGGACACAAGTGCCAGGCCAGGCCACACTCCCGAGACGGCTCTGCTGAGCCCCACAGGCACCCTGTCCTCAGCCAGCAGAGCCGCCGTGAGCGGCCCCGGCAGCGGCCCGAGTAGGAGGGCTGGGATGGCCATGGCACGCACAGCCACACGCCGACGGCACGGTCAGCAGCTCTCCCCGCACGCAGGTCTGCGCCGGAGGCCGTTGGCACACAGGCCTGAGGGAGGAGCTCTGACTCCATGTTCACTGTTATCCCTGGTTTAGAGCGTGAATGTGGCTTTCCACGTGCTACGTCTTCAGCCAAAATCGATTTGGGCTGAATGACAGTTTGCTGTTCTCAAACAAAAGCCTGCGACAAAATGCACCTGGGCAACACCGCACAGGAGGGGCCTGAGCAGGGCTCGGGGACACCTGGTGAGGGCGGAGGGGGGCGGTGCTCCCTGCCAACCCCCGCTCCGCCCTCGCCCCGTGACCAGCCGGGGAGCCACTGGAAGGCCACGTGCAGCAGGGTCCCAGGAGAGAGACGGCTGCTCCCACTGCCCTTCGGACCCCGGAGACTGAGAAGAGGCCAGACCCGAACAAGACACCCAGGTTCCCAGCGATGGTGTTTGCAGTTCTAATTATAGCAAAAGATAAGGAGCACTTAGAAGGTTCCCACTTTCCCGAGCGGAGGGGAAAGGACGCCAGCCCTCCCCCACCCGGTCCAGCTGCTGTGAGCTGTTCCGTTCCGTTCCCCATGGCTACACTGCAGGGGGGCAGTGGCTCAGACCCTCAGACACCCCTTCCATTTCCAACAAAGCGTCAGCGGGGCGGGGGGGGGGTCTGGATCGCGTTCAGGACAGCGTAAAGTTCCACCCAGCCCGTGCGGATCTTCACTGGGTCCAGGGAGTGAGTCCCCAAACAAAGGCAGAACCCGCCTAGCTCCTGTAAGAAACGCGGGTGTGCCTCGGGGAGGGCAGGTCCTTCCCGCCCGGTGTCACGGGCACCGGCCACAGCCCCACACTCTCTCACACAGACGCACACACGTGCAACGGGCACAGGCATGCAACACCTGTGTGTTCCAGCAGAGAAAGTGGCCAGTGGACACTGGCTGCTCAGGGTCTCCAGAGAACAAGCAATTTCTTCTCCCACGCAGCGCTGCTTCTGCCGATACCCCCTGGAGACCCAGCAGGGGGACGAGCGCCCAGTCCAAGGGCCAAAGGGTCAGACCCTGGGTCCAGAGGCCACAGAGGGATGGACTGCAATGGCTCAGTCCATGAACTGCAGGGTCCAGAGCCACAGAGGACAGAAGCTGGGTCCAGGGCCACAGAGGGACAGGCGTCTGGTCCAGGGGCCGTAGAGGGGTGGGCACCCAGTCCAGGGGCTGCAGAGGGATGGGAGCCCAGGCCAGGGACCACAGAGAGATAAATGCCAGGTCCGAGGATCACAGAAGAGGAAGCCAGGTCCAAGCTGATAGATAGAGTAGGGTGGCCAGGCCACAAGAGGGCTTGTGGGCAGCAGCTGCTGAGGCGGAAGGCGCCCCGGGCCACAGCCCGAGAGTGAGGCTGGGCCACACCTGGAACCTGGGAGCTGCAGTCGCAGTGCTCAGTGGACAGATGGACAGTCCTGGAGCCAAGACACTCTAGGACGAGCACGAGGTGACCCCCCAGCTCACATCCTCGAGCACTGCTGGGACTGGGGGCAGCTCCCTTTGCCGGCCACAGGCTGCGCGGGGCCCCTTCCTGCAGTGGACAGTGGGCGTGGGTCAGAGACAGATGAGCTGAGAGCAGCCCCTCCTGCTCAGACACAGGTGGTGGGACACGGGTGCCCAGCGTCCGCAGACAAGCAGGGTCAGCAGAACGCCCGTCACTCAGGGCACATGAGAGCCTCAGGCTCACCTAGGGAGACCCTGAAGGGAGGGGGCGCAGCACAGTGTCCCCTCTGCACCCCCTTCGCCTCACTGGGACAGACGGGCTTGCTGGTGTCACAAGCACGTTTCGGGCAGCGTGGGTGAACTTCCAAGCTCAGGCTCCAACAGGACAGGGCTGACATGGGGGGGCACGGGTGGCTACCGGGCGCAGATGCCAGGATGCACAGGACCGGGCTGTGTTCGGCAATGTGGCAGAGGCCCAGCGGGGAGGACTGGCCCTGCACCTGCACACGGGCACCTACTGACGCTGATCCGAGGCTTCCAACAGTCGAGCTACACCTCCAGGGAGGAGAGGTCATCTCCTGTGAGGCAAGAGCCCACACCCCAGGGAGGAGAGGCCACCTCCTGCCCACCACGGCAGCCCCCGGGCTCCTGCGAGGCATGAGCCCAGATCAGGTGCTGGCCCGAACAAGCTCGCGGGGGCCCCTGTGCACTGTGGGGGCACCTTCACTTGCCCACCAGGGGTAAGGAGAGGATGCCCGGCAGGACAGGCTCCCCATGAACAGCCGCGGTCAGTCCAGCTCCACGGCAAGGTCAGTCGTGCCCTCTCTGAGCGACACGCATGGGTCCATGCACGCCTCTGGAAGACGCCTCACCAGTGGGATCCACGCCCGGGCTCTCGCCAGGGGCTCCCAGCCCAGAGCTTCCCAGGACAAACGGCTGCATCAGGTGGAAACTGACCTCCCGAACCCCGTTAGTCTCAACAGGACTCCCAAGGTGGGGTGCACTTCCTGAAGGCACCCCAGGGCATGCAGAAGCTCAGGGGGCGCTCTCAGCTCCTCTGGGGGCAGCTGGCCCCGGTTGGGTCTGCGCTGTCCCCGAACACAAGGAGGTGGGGATAATGTGTGTGTGGAGTTTGGGGGCACTGGGCACTCCACGGAGCTGTGCCCCTCAGAGTGTTTAGGGGCATGGGGCTCAGGAGGGGCGGGGCACGGGCCAGTCTCTGTACGCCACCTGGGACCGAGCAGCCGTCACTCCGCGGCGCCAAGAGCCCACGTGAGGCTACCACACAGTGGCACGCTCACAGCTCTGGCTCACACCAAACAAGTCCCAGACACACCATAAAGCCAGAGCAGACAACACCTGGGGTCCGACTGCCCCTCGCCCAGCAGAGACCAAACTTCAGCACTGAGGCGAAGATGTCCAGTGTCCACAGTACGCACAACACTGCCTGTGCCTGCTGGGGCCATGCAGGAGCTTCCAACACCAGGCATGCACTGGGCTGCCAACAGCCCCACTGTGCCATGGCACCACGGCTGCCGCACCGTGCCCCACACATGGCCAGGCCCCACGGACACGCTCAGACCCACGACGCACCCTCAGCCCATGGAGCCACGTGTACCTCGAGGATCTGGTCCTGGATCTGCAGACCTCCGTCCTTGGCAGCAGGTCCGCTCTCCACTATCTTGGAAACAAAGATGCCTTCGCTGGAGGACCCGTCCTGGTTGTCCTTGGGGGAGAGGACACGCAAGAGGACATTACTCTGCATCCCGGAAAGGGTCAAAACTCACCAGCCCTGCCTACCCTTCTGAAGGCCCACGGTGCGGGGGGGCAGAGGCGGCCCCTGCATTAATTAACTGGACACCCACAGGTGAGCGAGTGCCCCCCCAGGGGGCAGGTGCACACCGACCCTCCATGCAGTCCCAGGCTGGTGTCTGCCCACCCCGGCTCTGGGATGGGTTAGCACCAGCTCTGCCCCTGCTGCACCCTGAAGGAGCCTCACCAGCAGGGAGGCTGGCATCGCTCCCGCAAGGCTGCACCAACACCCGCCCACGCTGTGGCCTGGCTCCCGCTGACTGTCTGGGTTCTCAGCAGGACCTCCTGGTCTCAGGAAACCACGTCCTCTCACAGCATTGGCCCCAAGACCTTCAGAAAGTGCATGGGCACCTGCCCCCACCCCCAAACACACCCCCTCAGCACCAGGACTAAGACTAGGCTTTCTAGCAGTGGATAATCTGATTATGAAAAGAGGCTTTTATTAGGCTCCGATTTGCATCAGAAAAGGCTACTGCTCAAACCCCACCCTGCAAGTCCAGATCTCCAGGCCTGAGCTAAACGGAAAAGGCTCCAGGAGCTCATTCCTGAGGCTGCCCCAGCAGCAGGGGGGACGCCCACGAAGGGGGTGCTAGGGTGCAGGGAGACAGGTGGCAGCGGGCACACGCACGCTGCCCCCAAACCAGGCCCCTGGGTCACCCTGGGAGCCCCCACACTCTGACACCCACCGTCTGGCCACATGCCCACAGCAGTTTCCCCCGGAGAAACTATTTCAGCAAAGCCCGCTCTGCCGGAAACAGGATCCCGCGTGGGCAGAAATGGCCCGAGCACCACCACGTTCCCCACCCAGGGGCACGAGAGCAGAGACGTCCCAGAGACGGAGCACTGAGGCCCAGGCTCAGAAACACACACGCCTCTGCTCACCACAGTGTGCATCCCACACACGCGCGCGCGCGCGCGCGCACACACACACACACATACATAGGGACACACGGAGAGACATGCACACACACAGGGGACACACAGCCATGCACACACAAACACACACAGGGACACATACACAAGGACACACAGGGACACACGTGAGGACATGCACAGGGACACAGAAACACAGGGACACACACAGAGACACACAGGGTCACACAGGAACACATGCACACACAGGGTCACACGAGGACACATAGGAACACACACGCGATCACACAGACACAAACACACAGGGACACAACCAGACTCACAGAGACAGACACACACAGACAGACATGAGGACATGCACAGCAACACAAGCATAGAAACATGCAGGGACTCACACAAGGAAATAAACACACAAACACACAGGAACATATTGGAACACACATACACCAAGTCCAGATACGCATAGAGACATTCAATCATGCGGGTACACACACACACAAAGACACACAGGCACATACTGACATGCAGACGCAGAGACACACACAGACACACAGACACACACAGACACCTCTGAAGCGCTGGCTCCAAGCACAGCAAGCGCACACCCGACGCAGTCTCCCTGGGCCTGGCTGCCATACTGCTGGGACAGCCTGACCCTGGCAAGGCCTGCAGGCCTTCCCGGCTGTGCAAGGGACCTGCACCCCCCTGCCCCGCCCCCCGGCCCCTCAGGTACAAGCTGCCACTAGGAGGCTCACGTGCAGCTCGGCAGCGTCTGCCCTCACCCCCCCCCACACACACACCTGCTCCAGTGCTCATGGACGGCAGTGGGGACAGAGCCACGTTCTGCTCAAGACAGCTCCCAGGCAGCTCACGGCAGGAGCTGGGACCCCTTGAGGCCGCCCCGTCCTGGCCACAGGCCCTCAGGTGTGAGTCTGGGGCGGTTCCCTCACCAGCCCCTGCTAAGCTCTGCTCACGCGGCTTCTGACCGCAGCCACCACCACACCGCGCCCGGAAACCTGTCGCCAGGCACACGGGCTCAGAGGTGCAGGCCTGGCCCCGCCGCGGCCCTCGGAGGCCACGGTCCAAGCCGCTGTCCTGGGCCCAGCGCTGTGCTCCGGCCTGGGAAGCAGGCCTGTGAGCGTGGCTGGCTGCTCTGCAGAGCTCCACAGTGTGTTGGTGGGGTTTTCTCGAGGAAAATTCCAGAAACCTGAACAAACCCGTAAGCAAACCCTGGAGTCGGGGTGAAGACAGGGCAGGAGCCGGGGCCTGGGTGGAATCCACAGAGAGGAGCAAACCCTGGAGAAGACGGGGCCTCGCCCCGGGTGCGTCCAGCAAGAGCGGCTGACCAGGCCGGGGGGCGTGACTGAGAAGGGGGCAGGCTCCGGGGAGCCTGAGCTGGCCCCCTCAGCCCCATGTCCCCAAGACGCGGCCTGCCTGACCCTCTCCTCTGGCCCTGAGGGACCCACCTTGGGCTGTCTCCAGGCTGCGGAGCCCAGCAGGGGGCCTCGCTCTGCTATTTTGGCTAATCAGGGCGAGTCGGGAAACACGACACACACCCCCCCACGCGGCTCTATTTTCCTCCAGGACACGCACGAAGTTCCTGCAGAAAGAGGCCGCGAGCCCGGCGAGGGCTGCCTCACGCAGCTGGTGTCTCCTGACGTCACGCGGGCGAGAAACACAGCCGCCCTCAGCCTGGCACCCAGAAGGGGCCCTTCCGAGGGAGCTGCGCCGCGGCTCAGACTTGGAGGGAACAGCTGCCCGTGTGGGCTCTGGGGCAAGGAACCCGGAAACTCCCGGGACGCGGGGTGCCGAGGGCTGCCTGCGTGCGTGCCCTGCTGGCAGAGACCAGGGTGCCCGGCCGAGCTGCCCAGCCCCCCGGCCCTCACGGTCACGCCAGGCTCGCGCGGGCGTGGTGCTTGCGAGTGCCGCTGTTTTTCCCCTCCCTCCGTGCTTCTCCCTCTAAGCCTCAATGAAGGGGGTCAGCGCAGCAAAACCCCTCGGGGCACACCCACCCCACCTCAGCCTGCAACAAACCTCCCCACGGCCCCTCCTGCCGCTCTGCGGGCAGCCACCAGCCACCTGAGTCCCCTGGAAAACCGCACGTGTTCTGTGCAGATGAGCGTGTGCCGTGCGTTTGCCTGTGTGGATCTGTGCCTCCAGTGGATCTGCGCGTGTTTGAGTGTGTGCCTTATAGGTCTGTGTGTCTGCGCCTCTGTGTCCTGTGTATCTGTGTCCCTAAGTGTCCACGTGTGCCTGTGTGTCACTGTGAGTGTGTGTGTGTGTGTTCCTGTGTGTCCCTATGTCCCTGTGTTTCTGTGCCCCTGTGCATGTCCTCACGTGTGTCCCTGTGTGTCCTTGTGTATTTGTGTCCCGTGTGTGTCCCCAGGTGTATCCCTGTGTGTGTCCCTGTGTGTGTGTGTATGTGTGCATGTCTCTCTGGGTGTCCTGGGTATGTCCCTCTGTGTGTGCAGGTCTCTCTGGGTGTCCCCTGTGTGTGTGTGTGTGTGCGCGCGCGCATGTGTGTGTGTGGGTAGGCATGCACAGTGTGGTGTGCAGAGTCGTGTGCGTTCCTGAGCCTGGGCCTCAGTGCTCCGTCTCTGGGGCGTCTCTGCTCTCGTGCCCCTGGGTGGGGAACGTGGTGGTGCTCGGGCCATTTCTGCCCACGCGGGATCCTGTTTCCGGCAGAGCGGGCTTTGCTGAAATAGTTTCTCTGGGGGAAACTGCTGTGGGCACGTGGCCAGACGGTGGGTGTCAGAGTGTGGAGGCCCTGGGTCACCCCGGGGCCTGGTTTGGGGGCAGCGTGCGTGTGCCCGCTGCCACCTGTCCCCCTGCACACCAGCACCCCCCTCGTGGGCGTCCCTCCTGCTGCTGGGAAGCCTCAGGAACAAGCCCCTGGAGCCTCTGGGGCAGGAACCAGCCACGTTCAGCCACACGTGGCCACCTGGAGTTCTGGCGCAGGCACGCCCCTTGTCCAGCTGCCCTGCCCACACGTGACCTCAGCTGTCCACGCAGTGCCCGTCCCCGGTGGGGACAACAAAACACCCCCCAGGAGAAGACGGTCTTAAACCAGCAGCCACAGTAACAGAACAAAGGCCAGGGGTGAGGCCTCACCCACTCCGGGTGCCTCCCCCTGCCCTTTCGCCCACACCCGGCCGCGCCCCTGCCTCCCACCTACCGTGCAGGGTCGGCCGCCGATGATGTTGAAGCCCAGGGAGCCGGCAGCCCGGTGCAGCACGAGCTTCATGCTCTTGGTCTCCTCGCCCTGTGGGAAGAGAACCAGGGTTCAGCCTCCGCGGGGCGGGGGAGGGGCCGCCCCAGGCTGGCACAGCCCCCGGCCCCCACCCGCCCCCCAGCACGTGGGCCCTGCCCGGTGGCATCCCCAGGGGCTCTGAAATCCCAGCGGGCTCCGAGAGGCCTGCCAGAGGGAGGACGCCCCCTGCCCCGCTCTCTCTCGAGAGCAACGGACAAAAATAGCCTCGACCTGCACAGCCACTTGCTGAGTCAGCGGCAGAGGCAGCGCTGCAGCTCGAGGACAAAGCTGGGACGCTGCACCCTCGCCCGGGGCCCCACCCCGCACGGTCAGGCCGCCGTGCAGGGACGCTCCTGAGGCCCAGCAGGGACGGCCGACCACAGGCGGCTGGCTCTCCCTGCTGCTGGCTGGCTGCCGTGGCCGGGGTGACCGCATGGCGCAGCACAGCCTGGGCCGGGCAGTGGCACTGCCCCGCTCTGGTCCATATTTGGCCAGAAATGGCGCCAGAACCTGCGGGCAACAGGCGAGCGGAGCCTGTCCAGGCTGACAGCTCCCAGAAAGCACGGCTGTCTCTTGTGATTCAGTGCCGCCGCGTCCAAACCATCTTAGGCGTCAGACCAAAGTCTAAGCCCCAGTCACTGAGACCGAACCGATGAGTTGGCGTTATCGAGAAGTTTCGACTGGGGAAACTCCGAGGCTGCTCGGACACAGCAGGCCCGGCCGCTTGCTGCAGCCCCTCTCGGACACCACCAGTGGCCTCCAGGCTGGGGCCCCGGAGCCGAGTCAGCCCTGGACAGACCTGGCTCTCACTCACGCAAGCCCCAGCTCGCAGCACTGCCTGGAGGAGTCAGAGCGGAACAGAGCGGCTCTGTTCACCCCCGGCCACAGCCGCAGGTCCCCGGGCTGAGCGCCCGAGGCCCCTTCTCGCAAAAACAACCCTGGTGCACCCCGCCCACGCCAGAAACCTCCCTCCTTGAAGGACAGACAGAAAACGCTCCCCAGGGCCCCCTCAGTGCCCTGGGGTGGGGGCCACAGGGAAGGCCTCGCCCTCCTCGGGAAACCCTGGTCCACGCATCTCACTCAGGAGACTGGCCAAAGATGGAAGCGTGAGCCACAAACACAGTGGCCGGAACCTACACACAACGGCGTCGCACTCGACAGACACGAAAGGCAAACAGGGAAATCTCAGCCAGGGGGTGGGCAGCTCCAGGGTGGTCGTGCCCCTGGCTTTCCCTCCATCCACACGGCACCCCTGCAGCCATGCAGACCATGGACATGGGCAGGAGGCTGGGGCTGACCAGGCCACACAGTGGGGCAGTCCAGAGGCAAGGGACCACACAGTGGGGCAGCTCACAGCCTTGGGGCCACACTGTGGAGCAGTCCACAGCCTCGGGGCCACACAATGGGACAGCTCACACTCACAGCGCCACACAGCGGGGCAGTGCACAGGCAAGGGACCACACAGTGGGGCAGCTCACCGCCACGGGGTCACACAGTGGGACAGTCCACAGCCACGGGGCTACACAGTGGAGCAGTCCACAGCCTCAGGGCCACACAGTCAGGCAGCTCACAGCCATGGGGTCACAAAGTGGAACAGTCCACAGCCACAGGGTCACATAGTGGGACGGACAGCTCATATTCACAGGGTCACACAGTGGGGAGTCCAGAGGCAAGGGACCACACAGTGGGGCAGCTCACAGCCAAGGAACACACAGTGGGGTAGTCCACAGGCAAGGGACCACACAGTGGGGCAGCTCACAGCCACAGGGCCACATAGTGGGACAGCTCAGAGCCACGAGACCACACAGTGGGGCAGCTCACAGCCACAGGATCACGCAGTGGGGCAGTCCACAGGCAAGGGGCCACACAGTGGGACAGTCCACAGCCACAAGGCCACACAGTGAGACAGCTCACAGTCACGGGGTCACACACAGTGGAACAGTCCACAGCCACAGGGTCACACTGTGGACAGGCTCTCAGTCATGGGACCTGCCCTATCCAAATCCCCGTCCCACATACTGGGCCTCAGCGCATCACTCAGGATCAGACTTGTTACTTCCTGCATCACTGGGGCTTTAAGACAGGCTCCCTCTGAGGTGCAGTCATGGGAGCAACCAGGCTTCCCCACAAGTGACCCCTACAGGGACTGCGATGGCATCTCCCAGGGGTAGTCCTGTTCTCTCCAGCCACAGAGCCCCTTGGAAGCCAGTGGGAGGAACAGCCACTGCCCAGAATACCCAGGTGTACAGTGAAACCTCCAAGCCGGGGGTGGAGTGTCTGGTCCCAGAAGCCTCAGAGATTTGGGAGAGCAAGGCCTGAAGGACAGACACAAGCCATGATCCGTCACAACGTGTGTTGACCGATGAGCACGTCCACATGAACGCGAAGCTCCAACACAGCACTCAGCTGCCTCTCGCAGTACATCCCCAGAGACAAGCCGCGATCCACGAGAAACACGGCCACCTCCATGACTATCCCCACAGGTGCAGTCCAGGCTCTACCATGGTACAGGCCCTCACAGGGGCTGCCACGCCTCATCGAAAACGCTTTATGGCAGGAGGCTGCTCTGGGGGCCACGTCCACCCAACAGCAGATGGTCCACCACAGCAGTGTCCACCTCAACGAGCTCATCCACACAGACACGGGCCGTTATCCATAACATCTGTAACCACCCCGGGGACTGTGTCCACAGAGACCCAGGGCAGGATAGTTCACTGCACATGGCCACTCAGAAACCACATCCACACAGACACAGTATGAGACTGATCACGTGCCCACACAGGGAACGTGCCCACACAGACACAGTCCCTGACCCATCACAGCACACGGTGGCCGCAGGGCCCACGTCCACGTCCACTTTTCCCAGCACTCAGCTGGGGCCGTGGGCAGCGCTGACTTGGCAGGCAGAGAGAGACCCGAGGAGACGGAGGACATGTGACAGCGTGCTGGTGGCAGGACCGTGAGGCAGGGGAGCGGGCTTGACCCAGTGATCCAGCCCTGGGAAGGGCTCAGGCGTGGTCGTGCAGACAGAAGTGGCGATGAGACTCAAAGACACACAGGTTCTGACAGACTGAGAGGAAGAGGAGGAGGAATGAAACTAACAGGGCAGCAACCACAGACAGGGGCCTGGCCCCCCCTCCACAACTGCCCCGCCAGAGGCTGGGACCCCCGGGGCAGAGCAGTTCCTCTGGGTGGCCGGGGCGTCACAGCAGATCCCAGCTGCCCAGGAGCTATGGCTGAGCATGAGAGAGACAACACAGGCAGCCACATCTCAGCACCAAGAGGACAGGCCTGCGGGCCGCAGTGCTGCCAAGGGCGCCTGCTGGACAGCTGTCCACCCCTTCACGCTGGCCTCCACGGACCCGGTTTCGAGGGTCTTTGCTGACATAGCAGGACCTGGAGTGGGACTGACCCAAACAATGTCCCGCCACCCAAACAGCGTTGGTTCGGCAGCACAAGGCCTAAGTGAGGGAACAGGAGGGAAGGAACATGCCTGTGGGACAAACAGGATTTAGGGGCACTTTGTGTCTTTGAGACACTGTTTCTTCCTGTGCCCCCGAGCAGCGTCTCCTGGGCAAAGCCCCCTGCACTGTGGAGGTGCTGTCACTGTCTCCTCCGAGATCCATACCGCAAGCCTGGACGCGTGCCCCCTCCTAGTTACACACGCTGGCCCGGAGTCCATCCCGGCCGTGCTCCTGGGGTGAGAAGCTGGCTGGAAGGACCCAGACCCATGTCGGGACCTCTCAGCTGTGGGGCCGCCGCCTCCCACGTGGGGACAGGAAATCAGGGTGGGCCAGCAGAAGAGAGATGCCCACTGCTCCGCTCCCGAGGGGGGGTCCCACAGCAAGAGCAGAGGCTGAGCGGGTCTGCGGGGAAGAGAGTCCGGCAAGGTCAAAGTGCAGCTGAGAAGGGACTCGCGGGGGTCTCAGGAAGGAAGACAGGAGCAAAGGGGCTGGGGGTGGAGCAGAGGGTGAGGGTGGGTGGGCCAAGGGAGAAGCGAGGAGGGAAGGGGCAAGGAGGAGAGGGTGGGACGGGAGAGGAGTTGAGGGTGGGGGGGAGAGGAAGCGAGGGTGAGGATGGGTAAGAGGTGAGGGTGGGAGGTGAGAGGAGGAGGTGAGGATGGAGAGACCAGGCGAGGAGGTGAGGTTCGAGGGGGGCCCAGAGGGCGAGGGGAGGCGTCAAGGAGAGGAGGTGAGAGCGGGTGAGGGGAGGAGGGGAGGGTGAGGGGAGGAGGGGAGGACTGATGTGGCGCGAGCGTCCCAAGAGCGAGTCAGCACCGCCCAGGCGCACTAGCAGGGGAGACCCAGGAACCGCGGGCAGAGCGAGCTCCGTCTACGCGAAGCCGCTGGTGACGTGCTCGGGCCCTGGTGCCGCCTCTCATGCAGGTGCTACAGCCGCCTCAGCCGCCTCAGCGCTGAGGCACCCAGAGACCCCAAGCGCCACCACAGACCCGACTTCCTGTGCTGCGCTGCACATTCCCCGGACCCAGAACGGGAGGTCCCCGTCCCCAGCCCAGAGAGGGTCCCGTGTGACAGGGAGGATAAACCCAGGCCACGTCGGGCGAAGGAGGACGCAGGCAGGCAGGAGGCTGCTGAGATCGAGCCGATCCCACCCTCCAAACTCTGGAGAGCTTCGGGCAGGGCCGCGGAGGCCAGGGGGTGTGGAGCGGCCTCGGGGGCCCCCAACTCTGCTGAGGACGCCAATGGCAGCGTGTGAGAGACCTGGTGTGCGGAGAGGCGACGTAAGGCAGGAGCACCCAGAAGGGTCCCCAGAGTTCAGGAGGCGAGAGCAGAGGTTGAATACCGGGGGGAAAGGGCATGGCAGAGGCCACAGGACTGACAGAGGGTGCTGGTGGCTCTGAGGGTGAGTGACTGTGGCCTGAGGGTGAGTGACTGTGGCCTGAGGGTGAGTGACTGTGGCCTGAGGGTGAGTGACTGTGGCCTGAGGGTGAGTGACTGTGGCCTGAGGGTGAGTGACTGTGGCCTGAGGGTGAGTGACTGTGGCCTGAGGGTGAGTGACTGTGGCTGTGAGGGTGACTGACAATGGCCTGAGGGTGACTGACAGTGGCCTGAGCATGTCAAGGCCTGAGGGTGACAGTGGCCTGAGGGTGACAGTGGCCTGAGGGTGAGAGACTGGCCTGAGGGTGTCAAGGCCTGAGGGTGACAGTGGCCTGAGGGTGACTGACAATGGCCTGAGCATGTCAAGGCCTGAGGGTGACAGTGGCCTGAGGGTGAGAGACAGTGGCCTGAGGGTGTCAAGGCCTGAGGGTGACAGTGGCCTGAGGGTGAGTGACAGTGTCCTGAGGGTGAGTGATAATGTCCTGAGGATGAGTGACAGTGGCCTGAGGGTGACAGTGGCTGTGCGGGTTAGTGACAGTGGCTGTGAGGGTGAGTGACAGTGGCCTGAGAGTGAGTGACAGTGGCCTGAGGGTGACAGTGCTGTGCGGGTGAGTGACAGTGGCTGTGAGGGTGAGTGACAGTGTCCTGAGGGAGAGTGATAGTGGCTGTGAGGGTGAGTGACAGTGGCCTGAGAGTGAGTGACAGTGTCCTGAGGATGAGTGACAGTGGCCTGAGGGTGAGTGACAGTGTCCTGAGGATGAGTGACAGTGGCTGTGAGGGTGAGTGACAGTGGCCTGAGAGTGAGTGACAGTGTCCTGAGGATGAGTGACAGTGGCTGTGAGGGTGAGTGACAGTGGCCTGAGGGTGAGTGACAGTGGCCTGAGGATGAGTGATAGTGGCTGTGAGAGTGAGTGACAGTGGCCTGAGGGTGAGTGACAGTGGCTGTGCGGGTGACGGTGGCTGTGAGGGTGAGTGACAGCGGCTGTGAGAGTGAGTGGTGAAGCGTGCCCATCCATCCGTCTGAGTGACCGTGGCCGGCCTAAGGGCCCGTCAGCCAGGGGCCAGGCTGTGAGCTGTCGACAACTCCAAGGTATGGCCGGGACAGCTCAGGGGAAGGGGCCGCGGATGCCGTGGGGCTTGTGTCCGCAGAACTGGGGCGAGGGGGGGTCCCCAGAGGGGCCCCTGCAAGCCCCGCTGCGGGCAGGGGTCCCCGGACTTCCTGCTGGCCTTTCTCGAACAGAGCCGACGCTGGGGCGAGCGCCTCTCGGCTAAGTGCCGACCGGTTGCAGGGCGGGGGCCGGAGGTCGTGGCAGAGCTGAAGCAGGACACGCCTGCCAGGTGACCCCGGCGGGGCGGCCCGCTCGCCCACCAAGCCCACCCTGAGCGAGCAGCGAAGCCGAGGGGGATGGAGCTGAGGGCCGCGGACAAGCCCTGGGTGTGGAGCGAGCCCGGGGAGGGGCGGGGAGGGGCGGGTCTCCCCGGTGCAGGGTGGGCGGTGGGAAGCCAAGCTGGACACTTCGGGCTTGGGCCGAACAGAAGCGCTGGGCCAAGGTGCGCAGGAAAGAAAACCTGATGCAGAGCATCGGCCGACAGAGGGGAGAGTGGGAGCACTCCCAGACATCATGAGGGCAGCAGGAGCACTCACAGACCATCACAGGGGGGAGAGCGGGAGCACTCACAGACATCGCTGAGGGGAGAGTGGGAGCACTCACAGACCATCACAGGGGGAGAGCGGGAGCACTCCCAGACGTCGCTGAGGGCAGCGGGAGCACTCACAGACATCGCTGAGGGGAGAGCAGGAGCACTCACAGACATCATGAGGGCAGCAGGAGCACTCACAGACCATCACAGGGGGGAGAGCGGGAGCACTCACAGACATCGCTGGGAGGAGAGTGGGAGCACTCACAGACCATCACAGGGGGGAGAGCGGGAGCACTCACAGACATCGCTGAGGGGAGAGTGGGAGCACTCACAGACCATCACAGGGGGAGAGCGGGAGCACTCCCAGACGTCGCTGAGGGCAGCGGGAGCACTCACAGACATCGCTGAGGGGAGAGCAGGAGCACTCACAGACATCATGAGGGCAGCAGGAGCACTCACAGACCATCACAGGGGGGAGAGCGGGAGCACTCCCAGTCGTCGCTGAGGGCAGCGGGGGCACTCACAGCCCTCGCTGCGGCCCGGGCCCGGCGTCGGTTTCCCGGGCAGCAGCGCCCCCCCCCCGGCCCCGCCTACCTGGGCGCCGGCCCCCGCGGGCTCCGGGGCGGCGTTGGGCTCCCCTCCTCCTCCTCCTCCTCCTGCGGCGGCGGCGGGGGGCGGGGGGCGGCGGCGGCAGCGGCGCGCGGCCTCGTGCAGCTGCAGGCGCGCGGCGGCGGCGGCCAGCTGGGCCCGCAGCGCCTCCTGGCGGCGGCCCGCGCGCAGCGCCGCCCGCAGCGCCCGCGCGCAGCAGTGTCCGGCGGGCGGGGGCGGGGGCGGGGGCGGGGGCGGCGCGGGCGGGGGCGCGGGCGGCGTCGTGGGCGTCGCGGGCGTCGTGGTGGGCGTCGTCGGCGTCGGGCGGCCGCAGGCGCGGGCGCAGCGCGCGGGCGCGAAGCCGCAGCGCTCCAGGTGCGCGGGCAGCTGCTGCAGCGGCAGGACCCGGGCGCAGCCGCGCGCCGCGTGCGCGCACTTGACGTCCAGCTTGAGCACCAGGCGCTCGAGCGGCGGGACGCGGTGCAGCGCGCGCGGGGACAGGCGGCCGCGGCAGCGCGCGGGGCAGCGGCCCTCGCGGCCCACCCGGGGCAGCACGCAGCGCGCGCAGAAGACGTGGCCGCAGGGCGCGGCCAGCGGCTCCTCCAGCACCCGGCGGCACAGCGCGCACTGCAGCTCGGGCGCCACGTCGCCGTCGAAGCGGTCCAGCTCGAAGCCCATGGCGCGGCGGCGGCGGCCCCGCGTCCCCCGCGGCCCGCGTCCCCGCGGCCCCGCCGTCCCCGCCGGCCGCGCGCCCCGACTGCGCCTCCGCGCCGGACTTCCCGGCCGCGCCGCCCCGGGACTCCCCCGCCGTATTGGCGCGAGTGCGCGCGCAGCGCGGCCGGCCGGCGCGGGCGGGGGGCGCGGCGGGGGCGCGGGCGCGGCGGGCCGCGGCGGCCGCCCCCGCCGCCCGCCGCCCGCCGCCCGCCGCCCCCGCCGGCCCCGCGGCCCCCGCCGCCCCCGCGCCCGCCGCCGAAAAGCGCGTGGGCCGCTACGCGCGCACTTACGGCCCGGCTATTTCTTGCCTTCCCGGGAAAGTTGGAGGCGCCCCGCGCCCCCGCGCCGCCGCGGTTCCGAGCGGCCCGGGCCGGGCGCCGGGGGGGCGGGAGGTCCCGACCACCCCCGCCCCCACCCCGGCCCGCTCGCTCCCGCCCGGCCCGCTGTGACCTTGGCGGGAGGGAGGGAGGGACGCCGGGCTGGCCCCGCGCTGACCTTCCCCACGGACTGTCACCGACTATTCTGAGCACCGTCACGCGGCGCTGTCACCGGCGCCCCGGGGGGCCTCTCCTGAGACCAGGAGCACCGGACCGCCCCTGCTTGGCGCTGCACCCAGGGGCGCTCGGACACCCGGAGGCTCTGCGGGGTGGAAGCGCCTTGGCAGCGCCGCCCGGTTAATTCTAGGCGCAGTCCGGGTCCGGGGAGGAAGGCCCGGCTGGGGTCTCAGCTGCCAGCAAGCCTGGGACCGGCGCAGAAGAGCTGGGGCCAGAGGCACAGAGGTGCCCCCACCCGGGAAGCTGGCCCACGAGTGTCCTGCTCGCAGGCCATGTGGCCTGACAGCCAGCCCTGCCTTCCCAGCCTCAGGGGAGAGGGCCAGCTCAGGCCCCTGCCTGGCCTCAGAGGACTGAAGTTGCAGCACCCCAGGGAGAAGGACGGGGGAGGGGGCCTCAGGAGGGCCCTGCTCCAGCACTGCAGTCGGCCCGCTGGGTGGGGCAGAGACAGAAGAAGCAGGAGCCAGCCCCCTTGCAGGCTGGCGGCCAGTCCCGGCCATGTTCCCTCGCAAACCCCTGTGAGGGGTTCGGGCGTTCTCTCAGAAACGTCCAGTAATAGTGGTGAAGCGTCCAACACCCTGCCTGGGGCCCGTCCAGAGTTACCGTAGTTACATCCGAGCGGCTGGTACAGTGAAAAGCGCAGCCAAGGCCGTTGGAGGCCGGGACTCGGTGGGGGACAGTCACTTTGGAACAACTTGGCACCTTTGGGGATGCAGAGATGGAGTGGCCAGAGAACCAGCACCCCGGTCTGCTACCAACCCACATCGCGTTCTTCGTGAGGGACGTGGGCCCCGCTGTCCGTGAGCTGCGGGGGTGTCACCGCGGCTTGGTTCTGTCACAGTAGAATGCCATCCCCAGCAGCAAGATGGAAGCGGGGACTCAGCTGGTGGGGTCTGGCTTGGAAACGTGGTCCTGAGGGAAGCTGAGCAAAGCCCCATCTCTGCAGACAACAAGGGCCCGTGGTGGTGGCTGGAGGCCAGTGCCCGGTGCAGGGGGGATGCTGCAGGTGCCGGCAGACTTGGTCCTGGTGAAACTGCTCTAGAACCTGCCTTGCTGGTGGCACCTGATTCCGCACACGCCACCACGGTTTGTGACTCACCACTCCACAGAGATGCTGTGGAGACCTTGATATGGTGCCCTGGCAGGAAGTGATCTCTGCAGGGGGCGAGTCGCATCTTAAGAAGCTCAAGGCTGTGTCCAGCAGAGGCTGAGGACACATGAGGGCAACTTCAGCGCCCAGGGCAGGCCTGGGGTGGGGCAGCACCGCAGCTGGTGCCGGCCTTGATGCGGAGGCTGCTGGGTCCAGGCCCGGCCAGCAGCGGGCCTGGAGGCGACTCCCTGGGTAACCCTGGCACCACCTGCGTCCCGCAGCCCTTTCAGTGACCAGAGGCACACTTCTCGGAGAACGGCCAGTCCCTGAGCACTGCCTGGAGAGCCCGCAGGAGAAGTCCCAGGAGGGTTGGGGCTGCTGCTGTGTCAGCTGTCCTGGGCAACGCAGGGGCCGTGGCAGGCTGTCTCAGAGGCATGCTCAGCCAGGTGGCAGGCTGAGGGCCTTCTGCAGAGCCAGCGCCACCCATGGGCAGCTGGGAAATCACCGAGCACCGCAGGGACAGCTCGCCTGGGAGACTTAACCTGGGCCCAGTGGGCCTTGCAGCAGCTGCCCCTCGGCTGCCCCTGTGTCCCCGAGCTTGCCACTGTCCTTCCCTCCAGGAGCCTCCCGGCCACTGCTCTCGTGTGGGAGTGAAGCCCTGAGCTGGGGTTTGTGAGCAGAATCGATTCTCTTGGCTGTTCTCCACTGACCCCTACAGAGCAGCCCAGATAGGGGTCCCATGTACCCTAAAATGGGGGCTGCGTGCCGTCCATCCTCACGAGGGTTCCAATGGTCGCCGTGCTGTCCCCGGGGCCGCGGCCTTCCGGTGCATGCTGTCCACCTGCAGGCTGTCCACCACGGGCCTTCTACCTGCGGGGCACCCACACGTGTGGGCCTGTCCCCAACGGGCAGCTCCACGCCAGACTGTGTTTCAGAAAGCCTGCTCTGTTTTCAAAGTTTTTTTCTTTTTAACCACAAAAGAATAGCTGTTTGGGGTATGTGTGGGGGGCTGGTCTTTGGGCAGAACATCCCCGGAAGGTGACATCTCTGAAATCTTGTCTTGACACGGAAGTTTGTTCCTGCAGGAGGGCAGAGTCAGCAAGGAGGGAGCAAGGGAACATTAATGAAACAGCTTCTGCAGCTGCTGTTGCAGTTTAACAGAGGGTCTCTGGCCTTCTCTCTGCTGCAGACCCAGGAGGCTCTCTGCCCACCGCCAGGAGCGCGGAGCCCGGGTCCGGGCAGGTGAGGGACCAGGCAGATGCTGGCAGGCGCTCTGTAATTTTGGCAAATAGCATGCTCCCTCCGGACAGAGTATGAAGAGCTTAGAAGTGGGATCCAGCAAGATGAAAGGCTTGAGGACAGTGAGTCATGTGTCACTGGTGGGAACCTCTGTAGGAACTTATAATTTATCTGATTATGTAAGCTCGGAGATGAAGATAAAGCTGCAGCCAGGAGCTCCCGCTGGTCTCTCTCCCAGCACCTCGGCGCTTCCCTGAGCGCAGGAGAAAAGTGAAAGTGTCTGACTCCTGTCACGTTTTCTGGGTTTGCTTCCAGAAGGGCCTCTCCTGCGGCCGGCCTGGGTGGCAGCTGCCTGCTTGCTCCCATGGGTGCAGGATGTCAGGGCACACCTGAGTGAGCGACTCTGGGGTCTGGGAAGGAGGTCGCCACGCGGGAGGGGCCGCCCCCCAGGGCCTCTGCGCAGCTTTTCCTGAAGGAGAGGGAGGGACGGTGGGAGGCCCGGAGCTAAGTCACGCCCACCCACTCCTGGCTCATCCCAGGGAGGGGGCAGGAAGCGCCTGATGGCTCTGGGCTGGGGGCTTTCCTGAGAGGGTCCTGCAGGCTGGGTCTTCTGCCCTGGCCGGGCCCCAGGGGCAGTGAGGCCGGCGGTGGCTGCTGGCTGGGCACGCTTCCCAGAGAGCTGCGAGTGTGCCAAGGCCACGCTACAGGAATCCCTGGCTGTGGGGCCAGCCTGGGGCTTAGCGTGAGACATCGCCGGGACTCCGGTCTTGCTCACCTCCCATCAGCACGGTGCAGGCAGCTTCCCCGTGCCCCGAGCACTGTGAGGGGAACCTGGGCTGCATGTGGGTGAGCAGGCGCCCCTCGGAGGCGGGGCGGCAGAGGCCCGTGGCCATCCCAGCAGCCGCGCTGAGGGGCCGGCAGAGCAGCAGGGATGTGCAGGGCCGACCCGCGGCCCATATTTGGGAGGACCGAGGCTCTCGGCCAAGCTGGGCCTGGCAGGCCTGCCCTGGGACTGGAGACACAGACCAGCAGCTGGGAAGGCCCTTCCTCTGGGCCTCCTGGGGACACAGCCGGCACAGCTGGCCCTGAAACACAAGCCTCACAGACAGGAGGCCTCCACGTCCCTGGCACAGCTGCCCTCACAGTCACGGGCCTCGGCTCACCCACCCCCCGGAAGGGCCTGAGTGGGCAGGGACAGCCGTGGGCCCAGGGCTGGCCCTCCCTCCAGGGACAGCCACACCCAGAGCTAGGAGCCTTCATCTCCGAAAGCCGTTCTGACCGCTGAACGATCGCAAGTGAACAGCGGAGGAGAAAGACAGTTTTCCTTTCAAAGAACGTTTTCCTTGGCTTGGCGCTCCTTTCTCCTCATCCTCTCCTGTCACACTGGATTTGGTGGAGTTTCTCACTTTCTGGGAAACTTTTATGTAATGAATTTTCCAGGTGGTTTGCAAGCCAAGTGGTTCCGAGCCTTCTGCGAGGCCCTGAGGGGCGGGCGCCTCTTCTCACGCACAAGTCCGAACAGACACAAACTCTTGTTTTCTTCAAAAGACACTGATAAACCTCTGACCTGAAGTTTATCTCTTTAAATATCATTCCCAAACCACTCCATTTCAAGAGTTTGGAAATTCAGATCTCATTGCCAGGTCTGGGAAACGCAGCCCTAAAGAGCTTCTGCTCTTAAGCGGGTGGGTATCACTCACCTGCAGACTGGAAGTAAAGTGGAGCCAAGCCAAGTGTGCCCGTCCCTTCGGCCTGAGCTTGGAGGGCGTGGGCGACTCACACAGGATGGGGCTTTCGTGGGGCGTGCGTGGGTTCAAGCTGGGTCAGTGCTGGAGTGGAAATGCGGCATCCGTGGGCCTGACGCTCACAAGGGGCAGAGGCCTGGCCTTCAGGGGGGGCACAGCCCTGGCTGCCCTCCTACCTATGAAAAGGCAGAAATTCACTGTGAGGGGCGGTGGAAAGTGGGACCCGGGTCCCGTGGTGTGTGCCGGCAGGGTCAGCCTGGCCTGGCTTGACGTGGCGTCTGAGCAGCGTGTGGTGGGTCTAGAATGATGCCTAGCCCAGCTTCGGGTCTCCAGCCCCCAAGCCTTGCCAGCTGCATTCCTCAAG